CCATGGTAACCCCTTCTACTACCAGCATGTAAATCACAGAAAATGTAGGTGTTAAAGGGCTTTATAGAGAGGTATAAACCGATGCATGCTTAAAATGTATCAAAATTCTTTTATTTTACATACATATAAATATAATGAAAATGTATCGATAAAATTCATCATTTCATACAAAATCATCCATAAAATACAAAATCATATGCCCCATGTTTCTAGTCTCAGGCCTATTGTTACTATAAAAACCAACCATGATCAAAAATAATGGTGGGTATGGTATCCCAATAAATTTCCTTTTTAGTTGATGACCATGTACACAATCAATAGGTAGATACAGTATACGAATACATGTCTAACTGCTAGATATGTATTCGTATACTGTATCTACCTATTGATAGGGGTGCCTTTTAGTATGAATAATGGCTTTTTATAGTACCGTAGAGCAGGGCTCAAAATTTCATGTCCTGAGCTACTAGCCAGGCCTTAAGAGTTACTTGCCACAAGTTGACCCACCTAACCCCTACCCACGGCCTTAACTCCGCCCCTAAACACACCCTCTAAAATTATTTTAAATGTTATATGCAGAATAAAATTACAAAAATAATTAACAACAACATTAACATAAAACAATGTAAACATTGCTGCCCTCCACATCCCCACATATAAAATAATATCCTCCCCCCTCCCCATTCCCTGCCCCCCCCACACATAATTTACTCTCCCCCCGTTCCCCGCCCCAGCCCATCCCACATAAAATAAAACAAAGAGCCCCCTCACCTGCTTGCCTTTATGCAGGGAGGAGGCACAAATCCGATCCCTGGTGATCCAGTCATGGTTAGTAAGGTCTGCTGCAGACCTTACTAATCAATCCTTTCAAACGGAGCTCAGAGCTCCGTCCGAAAGGAACGGAGCCAGGACAGCAAGGAGCAGCTACTCTCATAAGTCAGGTACGCGGTCCGTGACTGCGTGCCAGAAGCTCAGGCTTCTGCACATTCTCTCCCAGGGAGAGCTCGATAATGAGGTACGGAGTTTGTTAGGAGAGATGGGGAAAGACGGCTGGACTTCAAACTGCATTAAACCACCTCATACAGCGTCCAGCTGTCCTCTCTGGTAAGATGCAGTAGAGCTGTGCTTATTCCCGTCCAGCCGCCCTTTCCTTTCTCTCCTAACTGAAACTCCATAACCCAGTACGTAGCTCTGCCTTTTCTGAGAATGTGCGGTAGCCCGAGCTCTGCAGACCTGATCGAGTGATCACCATTGCAATGCTTTCCAGACTTGAATGCAAAAATGAAAGAAATGCATTTTTTTTTTAATATTATCAAATATGCATTTCTTACATTTTTGCAAAAGGTGAACTTATCCTTTAAAAATTGTGAAAATGTCTCTTTTCTTCAGTTCTGACATTTGGAATTTCACCTCTTTTTCTCAGCAGTTAAAGAATCTACATACAACAACTTTTTACTATAGTTAATTAACAGCAAAAGGCTCATAACTTTTTTAATTACCGCTGCTCCGCTCATCTTGTATTGTTTCCATTCGCAAGTAGTGCTTTACCCATAGAATGACCTCTGCAAGTATTGGAGCGTGGGAGCCAATTAGCACAAGGCCCCAGGAAGAGACAGGAGTTATACTAACATGTACTATAATGTTTAGTAAATAACTTGGAGAACTGCTTTCATGTACCTAGAAAATAAGTATGTTATTGACATTACATGAAAATGGAAAGTACAAACTAAAAACATTATTTTCTGCCCTGAAGCTCTGATTACTAATACTACCCTGTCTGGTAAAGTTTGAATCTCTACCAGCATACTGATTGAGGGAGGGAGCATAGGTGCCACTTTTAAAGAATCACTCCGGGAATCATTAAAACTTACCCTTGCAGTGGGCCTACCCCCACTCTGTAGGGGCTAAGAGCTTGTTTTGTCTAGAGGAATAAAGCAGATATACTCACCTGATCCTCGCTGCCATGGCTTTCAGTGCTAAGCTCTTATATCTAATACAAGTCAGTGGACCCTGCATTAGGTGTAATGCACCATAGACCGCCGGAGCCAGCTCCAGTTACGCCTACCTCATTTTCGCCCTAACCTCTGACCAGTGGCATCACAAGGGGGGTGTGTCCCGTACATGGGTGACACCATTGGAGGGGTGACCCCAAAATAACTGACAGTCAGATTTTAAAGCTTTTTTACACTTTTTGCATATCTACTGCTTGCTAGCAGTAGATATATGCAAAAAAAAACAAAAAACGGAGGGTTTAATTATCCTTTAAGTCTCTTTCTTTCTCTTCAGTTTGTCTATTCTCTGTTTTAAGATCCTGCAGGGTGGAGGATAAAACATTGAACCAATATAACCTCGCTACATTAAACTGCAAACACAGTCTTAGTTTATCTGTGGAAACAGGTTACATTTAGCAAGATTTCAAGGACGCACCACTTCTTTTTTTTTTAATTGGTTTCAATCAGTAGAGAAAAAACATTTTCATACCATAAAAACAAGACTTTTGTCCTCAAAAAGCCACGGCAACTGTTCTAGTTCTGCTGGAAGAGAAATAGCCTCTAGTTTAAAAAATTGTATACCTTGACCTCAGAGTCCAGAACAAAAAAAACAGGCTTTTAAAAACATTTTTAAAATATCATTTGGCAATTGTTGCAGTTTGGAGTGTACAAAAAACTATTTAAAACTGACCTTTAACCACTTGCTGACCGCAATGTTTACACCCCCTTCCTGCCCAGGCCATTTTCAGTATTCAGCGCTGCGGTACTTTGACTGACATTTACTCCGTCATGCAGCGCTGTACTGAAATTAATTTTATACAATTTTTTGGGGACACACAGAGCTTTCTTTTGGTGGTAGTTAATCACCATGGGGGGGGGGGTATATTTTTTACTACTATAGTAAGGACATATTATCGAAAATTTTGAAGAAAAAAAAACTGATTCCCCTATATTAAATTATGAAACATTTATTATTACCCAATTTTTTGGTAAAATGTAAAAGACGAGGTCACGTCGGGTAGATAGACACCAAACATGTCAAGCCTTTAAATTGTGCGCACCCGTGAAACTGCAAAAAAACGACAATACCCAAAATTGTCCATAGGCGATGCTTTAAAAGCTTTTATTGCTCATCAGTTTAGTGTTAGCAGTGATTGATGGCCCTAAAATTATTGCTTGCACTCCGATACTGTAATACCGCGGTGTAATGTAACATGTGCAGCGCAATTGTCGTTTTCGCACGTTGGCGCATCCGACGCATATTTACATTTTACATTCTATTTTTTTACATATACATATATATAACATTATTTAACTCAAACCTGTACTTGGTGGCACCATAGGCATATTGGGCTTTACCTTCCCCATGCTCTCCTGCAGCCTTGATCTGCAGAGCCCTTCACTTACAAACAATGTGATGGCGTGCCCCCGGCTTCTTTCTTTTGTTTCTGCAGACAGTTTGTGGTGAGGACGAGCCACTGCTTGGTTTTGGCACCTATCTAGCTAAGGGGGTGACCCAACCTATAGGGTTTTGGAAGCGGCAGATAACTTTTTTGCTAAAGCAGTGTCATATGGGTCGGAAAGTCTTGTGTAAGCTTTAGAAAATCAAACTTTACAGGAATATTTGGCAATCTGGCAGCAGATTAAGGTGGCAGGAAGGAAAGTACACCCCATCCTCCTACCCAACCAACCTGTCTTGTGTGGGCAAAGTACCGGTTAGCTTTAAAGGAAGTGATTGCTGAGAGAAATATGGAGCATGCAGTCGCTATCTTCTTATTCTGAAAACGCAAGCTTTCTGGCTGTTGGGCACATCCTCAGGCTTCAATAATTTAAGGAAACTAAGCCAGTACAAGCATGCCAATATGGACTCTTCTCTATTATCTAAAAACAACTTAAGACTTTAAAGTATTTATAAACCCTAACAATGAACTTCTGTCATTTTTGCTCTTTTGGTCTGTTAAATATACAGTTGAAAGAGTTTTGTTAGATCTGTTGCATGCGTGCATAAAAATTACCTGTTGATCCTGCCAGAAAGCTTGTGAGCTGATAACTTCCTGTACTCTCTGCCTATGCTGTTATAAGTTACATTATTCCCAGTTCTCTCAAAACCCCTCCCTATGTTATGGAGAAGAGTATTGGGGGAGGTGCTTGCAGTCCTGTCCTATGGTGACAATTCTCCTTCATAGAGATACTACCAGTCACCATGAGGGTTGTCACCCTAGGACAGAAAGTATATTACTAGCAGGATCACCAGGTGATAAAAGGCCTGAAAAAAAAGAAAACAAATGCAGCCGCCACATCTAAGGACTAATAAGCTGCATCTAGAGGGTTTAGATACGCTCTAGAAGTCTAGATGGTCTGCTTTCGGTTTCTCGATTCACCACTTGAAAGATCAAAAAAAAAAAAAATGGACGTGGGTTGGAAGTTAGCTCCAATTCTACCAAGTGTTAGAGCTTTGCCTTTTAGATCAGTAGCAATTAAGAAACATGGAGCAGCTCTACCTTCTTGTCTCCAATCCCGCTGCTGGAACCTCGGTGCCTGGTAAAGCTTCTGCCGGAGCCTTCACTGAGCAATAGGTAAAAGCCGGCACTCGCAAAGGGATTCGTCCATCCAATACTTTATTTGCAAAAAGGCATAAAAGCAGCAAACAAACAAATGCTTACATGTTTCAGTCCCCAAAACTGGGCCTTCGTCGTAGCTTTAGATCAGCCCAGTATTCAGCCATAAGAAAGGGCTTTTGTAGGCACGGGGGTGGACATACCATTTTAGCAGACTATACAGGTGCACAGGGGCCTCTGTGACTTAGGGGCCCATTTATATTAGATGTGGGTTTGGCAGGTGCCAGCACTAGCTTCTTATTCTACAAAAGCGACTCCATGATTAGTTCTCTTCAAAATACACCGTATAATGAAGATGCTTTTGTGCCGGCGCTAAACAAGACGATCGCGTCCCTTCATTTTCCTGGGAGCATTCCTGATCAATGTGTCTTTCTGTCTGTTCTCTCTACAGGCCTCCCTTACGGATGGGAAGAAGCTTACACAGCAGATGGTATCAAGTACTTTATCAAGTGAGTAGTTGTGTTAAGCAGTGTAAGCAGTTTGACTCACATCTGGCTGGGAATAGCCATAGCTAGAAAATGCAGAGAACACAGTACAGAAGTACAGAGAGGAGGAGGACACTTTGGAAAGCCAAATACTGAACTGCTATACAGGCAATACTAGCAAAAGTGTGCCCGAGTGGTAGAAATGGGAACAATCCTGTGCTGCTATCTAAACTCAGGAAAGCAATGGGCAGATATAGGAAAGAAAGTCACTGGTCTGTGATCAGTTTTGGCAATAAATGTGGCTTTCAATTGCATTCAATTTCTTTTTATCAACAGGGTATGTTTTCCCTTTTTAAACAAACAAATTCCAGCAGAAACTCAAGAGTAACTATAGAGTAATAAATAAAAAGGCCTACTCCACCTTAGGAGGCTTACTAACAGTAGTGTCCCTCACTACGTCCTACTGGAGTGGTTATTCCAGCTTCCAGTATAACTGAACATGAACAAAAACCACAGTCCAATACATACAGTTTTTAGCCAGACCTTATTCCACAGATATTCAGACGCTCTCCAGTCTGTATGCATCCACCCAGTCCAGCATGGATCTCTCTGAGCTCTTTCTAGCCCCCCCCAGTCACTTTCAGGTGCAGGCTAATTAATAGAGAGAAGAGGTGTACCTGTTGGGGCAAGGCTTAACACCTTCCTACCCAGGGAAAGCTGCCCTTTTCATCCTCTCACTGACATACACAGACTCGTATACCCTGTCACATTTTATATATATATCTATATCTATATCTTTATATATATACCGTATATGGCTGAACGCATATAAAAGACACATTAAGAGAACTATATCCAAACCTTTTTTTGGCTTTAGTTGTCTTTTGGATCACAGGAGGACATTTACTAATGTCCTCCTGTGACCCAAGGTCAGCATATAGCGGGCATATAGCCCGCTGTATGGTGATAGTGCAGAGCCGTGCTGCAGATGCCCGCCCCCTCCCCTGTCTGTCCCTCCAATGAGCACTGGAGGAACAGATAGAGGCAAGGGGGAATCTCTGTGGGGAACAGTGAATGACTGTCGCCACTCTCTGCAGGAAGAAGCCGTGGGCTTAGCAATCAACAGTTTGTAATTGCTCACTTCTCGAGCTATAGAGCCGGCGTGTGACAGCTGCAGTGTCACAGGCTGGCTCAAACTATTAGGAAGAGTACATTTTACTCTCCCAATACTTCTACTTTAATGCAGCTCTTTTATTCATTAATACATCATAAATGTATTTTTTACATGCAAGTAGTGCAAATAGCTACATTTGACCAGGTATCAGCCTCTTGCAGTCTCTATACAGCAGCGCTGGAGTGTGAGAGGAAGAAGCAGTACAAGCAGCCAAGTAGCTCATATCCTGACTAGCAGCATGCTGATAGGAACAGAAAGCAGAATGACAGAAACCTCATCACTGTGGTGCTTCTCCTTCCACTGTCCAGTCACAGGCTGGGGCAGGTCAAGGAAAACCTGGGCTCATAGGAAGTGGGTTGAATGATTTTGGCTATCAAATTGAGGCCACCTAGTGGCAGGAAGAAAGTACTTCAGGGGAGATCTCTGGTCTGAAAGTGAATGTTGCAAGAACAGCAACAGCTCTAGCCAAAACACAAGGTCAGTGTCTGCCTTTCCGGCCCACCTCCTGTGCAGCATGTAGTATGATCCAAATTAACAGGTACACTTTAAAGGGGGGAAACAAAACCTTTTCACCACATATACTGGTAGCCAGGACAGTTCACAAGTTTGCCATCTTTGTTTTAAATAAACACATGAACTCTTTCATTTGCGGTGAAAAACAGCAATTTTTATTTGTATTCTATATTAGCAAAATAATGAAAAGCACCTGCTACTGAGTAGTGTCCCCACTGACTTCCCCTTATTATTTCCCTTTATGAAGTGTCCTGATGTGTCCTTGTGCAGTTTTCAAATGTTTTCTTATGTTTTTTCCCACCCCATGCGTAATTACAATCAAATAAACCACAGGCAGCCTTTAAAAGATGACACGCACCATGCAGAAAATTCCCTTCATCAAATAGTTTAGAATAGGAAAAACAGAACATAGATTAACCGGTTCCTGGACAGAAAGGCTGCCTTCGTGTACTGAGTTACAGCTGAACTCTGAGCAGATATATTATAATTAAGGTACTGTATAAATGTGTACATTAGGGATGCACCGCTACTAGTATCGGTATCTGTGCCGATACGAGTACTCGCCCAAATGCTCCGATGCCTATTCCGATACTTCCGGTATCGGGAAGCCAGGCAGCGTGTCATTACACGCTGCCCGGCTTCCTGATTGGCCGTGTAATGACGTGGCACCCTGCTTTCTGATTGGTCGGAAGCTGGCTTCATGCTCCCTGGTCACCTCGTGGTCATTACATAGCGCCCGGCTTCCTGATAGGCCAGAAAGCCGACTCCATGCTTTCTGGTCACCTGCTACTCGGGAAGCCGGGTGGCGAGTCATTACAGACCGCCTGGCTTCCTCAATGAGACTTCCGGTATCGGCATTTGGTATTGGCGAGTACCGAAAAAAAATACCGGTGCTCGTACTCGATACGGAAATACCGGTATCGGTGCATCCCTAGTGTATGTATATCCGCTTAGAAATAATTGCATTTTATTTCAAATACAACCATTATGAGTACCCAAATCTGACTTGGCATTAGCTTCTTGTTATATCCTACACAGCAGCACTGGGAGGGGGAGGCGAAGCATTACTAGAACTTTCAGACCGCTTGTAAAGATATTTTTTGAGTTTGTTAAAGAGGAACTCCAGGAATGTAAAAAATGAACCATTGAAGTGGAGCTACCCTCACACCTCAAGGGTTAACTGCTCATTTTAGTCTAGGGGCTGGAATACAGAAGGTATACTCATCTGATCCTGGGCGGGACCAAGAATCAGGTGAGTATTTTTTATTTTTGTATTTGAGCCCCACTGCAAGGTTTAATTTATTTATTGTTATTCCTAGGGTTCCTCTCTAAATAATAATTATACATTTTACATGCTGGTAGGTTAATTGGCTCCTGTCTAAACTGGCCCTAGTATTTGTATGCGAGATAGGGTCCTTAGATTGTAAGCTCCTCGAGGGCAGGGACTGAATGTGCAATATTTAAAAAGCTGCTTAAATTATTGTCCAAAATAAAAACCTATAATAAATAATAATATGTTTTTCAACATAACATGGTGAGTATGCTTCTCCACTTGGTGCAGTTAAAAAGAACTGAAATATAAGATTAGGGTGGACTGACCCTTTAAACAATCCTGCTCACATTGGTATTTAGTTGACTTTTTTGCAAATCTTTAAGCAAACTTTTTTTTTCCTTTTTTATAAGCCGCATCCCATCAATATTGCATTAGCTAATTGCTATCATCTCACCTTGTCATCTTCTAAAAAGACTACAACTTCATCAAACACACAACCTCTCTCTCTCTTACCTATTTTTAATTGGCAAATACCCTCCGCATGCTCGAGCTTTGAGCTGTACATAGTAAAAATAACATTTTCATCTTTAAAGCTAAAAAAATGATTTTTTTCAAGCAGGTTGTGGGAGTCACACGATCCTTTACATGTAATTAGGTCTTTGGAGAGTTATCAAACAGATTAGGGTGACGAGGGAGCCAACCGGCCCTAGAACACAAGGATACTGGGGGGAAATACTTTTCAGAATAGCTTTTTTCTTCTTCTTTTTTTTTTAGTCTTTACCTTTATTAGTAGGAAGTCGGGTCCTCCAGAGTCTGAGTATTAAGATCGCAGTCGGGTTTGAAAACTCCGGGATATTTTTGAAGCCACTTTTTACAAAGTTGCTTTCATCTAGAACTTTTCAAGGCTCTTAAAAAATATATTGAAAAAACAAAGGAGATAAATTACTGCCAAGTAAGTAAGATATAGATAAAAATAAATAAATAAATGAGCATTTAAATTAGAATTGTTTTTTTGCTTGCACACAGTGGCGTAAAAATCACCAAGGCTCTGCAGGGTCACCCTCAGGTGGGCTGTGTGGGATCTAAATTGGGCTCGGGAAGGGGTGTAACTAGAGATTAAAGGGGCACCATACAAAATTTTGCTATGGGGCCCTGTGATTTCTAGCTACGCCCCTGCTTGCACTGTTACCTGTTTTGTGAACTCCCAAAAAATAAAAGTAATAAGACAACTCTGCGATGATCAGGGGTCAGAAATAAAGAAAACAAAAAAACCTTTTACAGCAAACGATAGCACAGAGAGGAGATAATCATTTTGGGAGTACGCAAGTCAATAAAAAAAAAAAAAAAGTAGTTAAACTTAATTAGAAAAGTGCAGAAGTGGCAGACACCTCAGCTTCAGCATTTACTTTCTGTCATACATTTGGATGATGTCGGAAAATAATGAGATCCCAGCATGTTACCTATTTTGCACAGAGAACAACTTCGAGTCAATGTAGAATAACATTGGCTGCAATCCAGCTTCTTCGATCTGGGAAGGTAGAGTAGCACTTACATGTATACAATTCATTTTTGCTGGAAAATCGGTCAATTCTGAGTTTTTATGAAAATATGCCATTTGCCAATTATGTAGCTTGCAAATTAGTAAAAAGTGCACAACAGATGGCGAGTCCTCCTCTCCTAATCTTCATTACATAGTGGGCAGTGTTCTGTAGTTCACCGACAGAGAAAGATAATAAGATTGTTTGAGAAATCAGTTAACTGCGCACGAATTTACAAGAACACTGCAATTCTGCCAAAGTCAGGTGATTTTCTGTACTTGCACATCATTTACTTAGCTGGAAAAAAAGAAAACAAATGCAGCCCGACCACATCTAAAGACTGGCGAGCTGTAATATATTAAGTTTTTTGTTGGAGCGGTATGATATCCTTTAAAACCTTGCCACCCAACTGGTGGGTCGCGACCCCATGTTCAGTGGGTCACCGTGTGCCTTCCACTTTTCTAGGCGAGAGGCTCCTCAGCCTCCCCTTAGCACAGCACTGTCAGTTCTCACGCCAAGCAGCCATTCAAAATATGCAGCCCGATGCTGAGTGTCAGCTTTAGGTTGGATGGGGGTATGACCGCTGGGGAGCTCTATTCATACATGTATTGCTTACAGTTCCCTCACTTGTCCTGTAAAGGTGCCTGGACCGGAGTGACATCACATTCTGCTCCCGGCACTAGTACAGGGCACACAAGGGAGCTGTACAAGCAATGCACATATGGATGGAGCTCCGTCATAGCACAGCAGCCTACACTGGCCCCCAGGCTGAGGATCCACTCCAGTTCTCGATAAGATAGGGAGACTGGGTGGATCTCATAAAAATTTAAAAAATTTGGAGTGTGTGTGTAAGAATGTCACCTACCGCAGATTCTGGTGTGGGAGGTGTTTTGCATTGCCATTCATTTGAATGGCACCCCAAACGCACCTCTCACCCACAGTTTGATTGCCCTCACCGGAACGCGCTGTACAGCAATGCCATGCTTTCCAGTGCGGGGCAACTTGGATCATGACTCAATGACCAAGGACAAATGTGGGTCCTGAGGTTACACAGGCTGAGAACCACTACTTTAAAAGTTACTTTCAGTGAAAGTTTACAGTAAAAAATTTCGAATGCATTTCCCTTTTAACACCTCCATCTGTCAGGCTTAATTTTCCTGAATGATTAGTAGCAGTGAAGTTTCACATCGCTGTGGATGCCGCAGCATTCCCAATGCAGATAATCAGAGATTATTCAGTGTGCTGATTACTTTATGTCATAGCTCTTTAACCACACTTCATGCACAGAGCTAAAAATACACTGAGGCCATTGACTGATCAGGAAGTAATCTCCCATAGACCCACTGACCAGATGTTCATCCTCTCGTTATGTGTACACCCCGAGCCAGTGCAATGTCATTGCTGTCATTGTGTCATTGACACGCAGACAGCCAGCATTGGATATTTATCTTTCTTTTAAAGGGAACCTATAATGGTTTGGGGTCAAGTTTATTTTAATTATATGTTTTTTATTATACACTGAAACATTTATAAACTAATGCCTCATATATTTTTTAATTGTATATATTTTTTTATTTCACCACTCATCTTTTATTACAGAGTATATCTATGGCCCTTTGCTTTCTTTTTAGAAACTCCAGCACTTCCGGTTTGTTTTGTCTGATTACACGTTGCCACTAATGGTAGTCCATACACTTTTGGTAGACATGACAAGTCCACTTTAAGAAAAAAAATCTGCTCCTACAGAAGCGCCAACTGCCTTGCACAATTATATGGAGGAGATCCAGCCAGATTTTATCTCATTCATCAGCTGCATAAAGGCTGTGTGTTTAATTTGGATATCACTAGCATGTTAATGCCGATGTTCTTGGCACTGGTATCCAGTACACTGAGCATAAAACAAATATGAAAATACATTTCCAACAGCAGGTAATATCTGTAGTGATTACACACATTTAAAGTGACACTTAACTCAGGCGTTAAACCTTATTCCTAAAACCTTAGAAATAAGATCTGTGGCTGAGAGTTTTGAAAAATATACCTGCCAATGTAAAAATGTCCATCCAAGCAATAAGATCCATGGTTTCATTGTTGGATGCCAAATCAGCTGCTGAAGAACTCTTTCCATTCCCAAACACTCGACAAACTGTGATGAAGGGGGTATTTGTATGAGGCCCTGAAACACAATGCCTATTTCTATACTGTCCCCTGAAACTTATATTAAATATATATGGATCTGTACTAACAGTGTGGGGTGCAATGCAGAAGCTTTCTGTCCGGTAGTCAAATCACCTATACCGATTCTCACATCCTAAGTGGCCAGCCACACCAATAGGACAAACCTTGCGGGTTCACCTCTTTTATTCCGCTTCTTCACTGGTGGTTGGTTATGTGGCATTATCACGTGGTCTCTTCTGAAGAGCCTTGGGTAGACCGACGTCCAAAAATAGTTGTCCGACCTGCATTGGTTGAGTGATCAGCCTCTGGGGAAACAAAGTTTTGAATGTTTGCAGAAGCAAGTAAGCTCTTCCAGACTTTCAATGTTCTTGAGCTTTTTTTTTTAAACACCCCACCATCACCATTTTGTAAAATATCAAGTAACAATGTTTTGCTAAACTTAGATATACTAGTCTGTGAACAGGTTTTTTATATATATATATATATATTGTATTGTATTACCTATTATAATCAATTACTTCGTACAGCAACATTATATAATACATATATAGGGTTATAATTTCCTACAGGGCATAGTTAGCTTGATCCTGTGCTGTGCAGTCTCTTATGCTCCAGCAAGGGTCTAGGTGGGCTCCAATAGCTTGCATGCCTCCAAACCAGCCTATGTTTCTGCAGGCTTATGTTCAGGCTTATATGGAAGACGAGCACAGCTATGATGATTTAGCTAGCAAAACAGCCAGGTGCACGATTTGAGAATGACAATTACAGATTCCCAGCAGGGGCCACATCCCCAAGTCAGTGCAAATGCAAAATTCTCATGTTTAACTGAGTGTTCCATTAAATATTATGACACAATTTCTGCTGCTTACTTCTTGTTGGCGCAATATTTACTACTCAGAAGCTGGCACCATTTCTACTTCTCGATGAATAAATCTGCTTCTTTAAAACCGTGAAAGCTGTCTACCTGAGTATACATGAAATGCTAAAGAGATTGATTAATAAGCAGCCGCTGGAGGAGGGGGGGGGAGATTTTTTTCAGTTGTTTCAGTTATTCGGTAAGACATTAATTCTTAAAATTTCACAGTTCACACACCAGAACTTTCAGCCTTTACTTACGGGTGTGCTCAGAGTTTGTCCACAGATGAACTATAACCACAAATACAGAGGGTGCTAAAAAATTTACATACATGTAAGTGTTTCCGGTGAAGGGTATTGCTACCGTATACAAAGTCACTTTAGACAATTGTGCACTATTAAATCTGTGGCAAACATGTGAGGAAGGCCCTTTCTGCTCCAGCATGGCTGTGGCCCTTTTCACAAAGCCAGGTGCATAGACATGCAAGACATGGGTACATGGGTTTGGTGTGGAGGAATTCAAGTGGCCTGCACAGGGCCCTGACCTCAACCCTACTGAACACATTTGTGGAGAAGTGGAATGCCATTTGCGAACCAGATCTTCTTGTCTAACATCACAACCTATTTTTACAAATGCTCTTTTGGCTGAATGAGAACACATTTCCACAGACATATTAAAAAATCTTGCAGAAAGTCTTCCCAAAAAAATAAGCGTTGTTAGAGCCACAAAGGGGGGCCAACTCTGTATTAATGCTCATGGTTTTGGAATGGGATTTCCAGCAAGGTTATATAAATGTGATGGCCAGGTATTCACAAGCTTTTGGCCATAAAGTGTAAGTATGACTTGACACCCATACCTCTTCCCCTTCCATCCTAGACACCATTAATTAATCGAGGGTTGGGAAGAAGAAGTCAGTCAGCCTGTATTATTCAGTGGCCAGATGATGCAGGTCTGATATAAAGGGAAGAGGCAGCGGCTGCCGGTGAATATGTGTAAAAGTTCGTCCCCCCACTACCCTAAAAGAAAAAACAAATTGCCTGCGCTCAGGGAACATTGTATGGCAGCCGATAATTACATTCCTGTCTGTGTCCATCCACTGTGTTTTCTTCCTCTATCTATTTCCCATTAAAGTGAAAGCAGGCTGTAATGATGCCCTCAGCATTTCACGTACTGGTACATTTCTCTTGCTGGATTGCTTACCCCGAGTATAGGAAATATGTCAAACTACATAATGTCCTTTTTTAATCGAGATTCTTTGTAGAAGAAAATGTACTGTACTACCTGTATACATGAGGAACAGTTGCAGATGAAATTGTGACCTGCTAGCAAAGCCACTTTAGCTGGTCGCAGTTAAAAAAGGAAAATACAGGTCCACCTTATTTGATGATATGCAGCTTAACTGGTAATTATCCTGACTTATGTCCTACCTATATATATCTCTCTTTCATGCAGCCATGTCACAGAAACCACGTCATGGACTCATCCCGTGACCAGTGCCTTGAATCTGACCTATATGGACGACAGCGGTGAGGAGAGCCTCAGAGATCCAACCGAACTGAAGAGCTGTTAATATCTGAGCTGACGTACTGATACACCAATTGCATGTTTTCCAAAAGCCAGGAATACAATCTGGATTTCTAACCGACTTCTTATTTGCTCAGACCTCTGCACACCTCAGCCACAAGAGTTGACAGGATATGAGAGCTTATGAACTGCTAAAACACCAGCGAGCAAGGTTGCAAATATAAGCTGATACGTTTTGCTTGCTATTGCTGTCATTAGAGGTCTTAGCTGGGTTCATTGAGGATATTCCCTTTAAACTGTTCATGCTGCCTTACTAACGAATGCTTGGCAGGGAAGGCTTTACTGTATAGCAATAAGGATTCTAAAGACTGCCATACGTGGCACGAATTTTGGGCAATTCCTGCAGAATCGGCTGCAATTGAAGCACCCAGGTCCACAAAGTCAATTGCAAAATTGAAGGAGCCAAGTGGAAAATTGTCGGCTGCACAGCGACTGCATCCAATGTTGTATACAGTAGCTGGCAGGGGATATTGAGGGAAAGGGGTGTGTCATAAGCTCCCCATACCAGGAAGTACAGATAGCTGAACAGAGCTGCCCGAGAGTGAAGGGAAGATGAGTATGTGCGACTGCTGGGGCCGCTATTCGGGCCAGTTTACACTTCAAACAGTGCGTTCCAGAGCGGTCAGGCTCTGGAACGCACTAAATCGCATTCCTGCATTCAGGGGCGGGAGGAGACGTAGCGGTGCATTGAAGTAAATGCTGCAAGCGCTATTTTTGCAGATTGCACTGGACCGGAACGCAGGCACTGATGTGCCACATGCTCAGGTGTGGCTGATCGCACTGCGGGCAGGGGGCGTGGCTGCGGTGCCATTGACTTCAATACACAGCCCCGCCCCGCCCCTGAACGCTGGGAGCCGGCCAGAATGCGATGCAGTGCATTCCAGAGCCTGACCGCCCTGGAACGCACTGTTTGTGGTGTGAACCGGCCCTAAAATCCACATTAAGCTCCTCCTATGTATTCGCTGTTTTGTTACTTATGTATGGATACATGTTACAGGTTTGTGAACATTTTGAAATACAGCCATTTGTACTGTGAATATTTTATATACTCTTACAATGTATGCTGTTTCCGTTGTCTGTCTGTTTTTGTTTATTACAGTTAGTGGCATTTTATCTTTTTTATGACAATCTCTAGGAAATTCGTTTAGAAGTATATACTCCGTCTATACATGCAGGGCCGATACTGTATGTATAGATGAGATTTGCTGACCGCCAAAGTTAAATGATCAGAATAAAATTAATAAAGTATTTCACATTTATTTTTAAGTATTGTTTGTCTTTTGGTGATTTTATTTAACAGACTTTTTGGGATCTTTCAAATAAAATGTAAACAATTCAATCTTTTGAAAACTGAACTTAAAGTGGACCTTTATCCCCTTTCACTAAAAATGACATCAGTGTGCAGCTCTGCATGCTGATATGAAATCATCTTACATTCATTAGTTAAACATAATTTTCTTTTACTTACACTTATTGTTTTTCCACCTCCTGGTCCTCTTGGGCATTAATGATGTAACCCGTGCCCAAGTGTTGCATCCTGGGAAGGTTACATCAGCAGAGCATTGCTTGGAAATCTAAACTGTAATCTGAAGATATCTCAGAGAAAAGTATTTTCCTTCCCTGGGATGATGTGCATGGTCACATGTCCTAGTCACATGTGCCAGAGTTCCAGGAAGTAAAGGAAGATATACTGTATGAATCTGCCACTGGCCACTGTGAGAAGATTGGGGAAGAAAAGAAAAATAAGGTATGCAAAGAATCAAAAGCCGGCTGTGTGTAGATTGTCATTACTAAACATTTCTAAAGGTGCCTTTGTTGTAATTTTTAAGATGAGGGTAAAATTCATGAAGGCAGATAAGACACAATTTCATTCATGAAGTTGTGTCCATAGAAAAATAATTAATTGTTTTATTCTTTCAAAGTATCTAGTGTCCAAATGTTACTAGATAGCAACCTCTTGCAGTTCCTGTACTACAAAGCTCAGACTGGAAGAGAAAGGAAAGCACTAGGAGCCAATCAGATGTGCTGGATTGCTTAAGTGCCGACACGGAACATGCTTATAGGAGGATAGAGTGCCGACACGGAACATGCTTATAGGAGGATAGAGTGCCGACACGGAACATGCTTATAGGAGGATAGAGTTCCGACACAAAACATGCTTATAGGAGGATAGAGTTCCGACACAGAACATGCTTATAGGAGGATAGAGTTCCGACACAGAACATGCTTATAGGAGGATAGAGTTCCGACACAGAACATGCTTATAGGAGGATAGAGTTCCGACACAGAACATGCTTATAGGAGGATAGAGTTCCGACACAGAACATGCTTATAGGAGGATAGAGTTCCGACACAGAACATGCTTATAGGAGGATAGAGTTCCGACATGGAACATGCTTATAGGAGGATAGAGCAGATAGATGATATCATCAGTCTGTCACTTTTCCTCCTCTTCCCAATGACATCCTGGGGGAGCTAGACCTAGCTGTAATTCTTAACTGCAGCTGATAAAAGTCAAGTCTTTAAGCCGGCTTTGATATATGTCAGGGCTGTGTAAATCTCAAGACTGAATCGGCAGGAATACAAATCCTTTGGCAAGTAAACCAGCTCCCATACATCGGTTTCATCTGAGTAATGGTGTGCCTGGAGTTCAGTTTCAAAGGGTCAGTCCCCACCAAAGCTCATTTTAGTGTTCGGTGGATCATTTTTTTAGAGCTATCTGGGACTTTAGTTCCCACCTGGGCCCACTTATTACACACAACACTCACTTTATCTTCTGTTTTCATTTCATTCACCCCGGCAAATGTGAGCTCATTCGTGAACAAACTAATTGAATTTGAATGATTCTTTTCCTTCACTCAGTCTTCCTCTCTGCTACTAGATATTCAATCAACCTGAAACACCGAGGACATCCTGTGAGTGCAGGATGTCATAGACAAACCACTTTAGGGAGATCACCACAGCACCCCGCACTCACATACAATGATGCTGAGATAGGTACTGACGTAACAAAGTGCCACTTCGCATCACTGAACTCCCTACTGCCGGAGAATACTGGAAGAGGACTCTGCATGTCTTGAACTGGTCTGAAGACATCTGAAAAAAGTATTTATTTTAAAAAGCATAAAATACAGCCACTGGGGTTGGAGGCAGCAGTAGGTCAGGGATCGGAGTTGAGCTTTATTTCTAGAATTGTTAATACCCATTTAGATTGCAAGCTCTTCTTAGCCCTCTTGAATTGTAACTGTACTGTCTCCCCTTGTGTTGTAAAGCATTGTGCAAGCTGTTGGAGCTATAAAAATCCTGTATAATAATAATATTAAATAGTAAAATGTTAAAAGTAACATCTGTAGCTCTGACCTGAGGTTGACCAAGTGTGCCGGAATGTTCATGATCCATGAGGCCCTCATTCAGTCATAAGGTTCTCTTCAAGGGAAGAGGGATATGTGGACATGAGTTGACTTGTGTCAGGGAGTGAAGTAGTGGTCTTAGAATTTTTTTTTGGACCTGTCCAATCAATCTTCACCCCAAGATTATGTTGCCACCTCCTCCCTTTAAAACTGAACACATTAGTTACACCGGTTCTGTGGATCATTAAGGTGCTCATTAAAGCTGGCCATAGATTTTCCAGTAGTTAATGGGGTCATATCGGCGATCGATTTTGACCGTAGTGCTGAAAAAATTTGAAGGAGCAGAATGGAACAAATGAAATTGAGTGAAGGTGTTTTTTCATTTAAAGGAGAACTATGGGGTGAGTGTTTTTCCCCATAGTTCTAAGGATCACAGGAGGACATATACTAGCGCCCTCCTGTGACCCAAAGCTCAGTATATTGCGAGCTACAGCTTGCGGTATACTGAGCCCGCCGCAGCCGGGACGGATCCCGACATTACTGTCGAGATCCACCCAGCTGCATGAGTGACAGCTGTGCCCGCCCCCTTCCCCATCCGTTTCTCCAGTCAGCGCTATCGGAGCGGGGAGGTGGGGGATCCCTGCAGGGAGTTGTGAGTGACAGTCACGGCTCTCTGCAGGGAGAGATCGAGAAGTGAGCGAGCGACGGTATGTGTTCTCTCACTTCCCGATCTATTGAGCCGAAGTGTGACAGTTTCATTGTTACACGTCGGCTCGAACTATGAGGTTGAGTGATATTCACTCACCTCATCGTTCTCCTTTAGGAAACTCCATTTTCTTTAACTCATTGGCTACAGTCAATCTTCGACAGAGTTTCAGATGGGATCCATAGTCAAAAGTCCATTGATAAATCAACTTTTTTTGAATGTTGGGGTCCTGATGGGGCCAAACTCTTCTCAAATTTTATCCAAGTCCTGCTGGCCAGCTCTTGTAGGGTTAGTTCCGGAGGACTGCGCGGGGCGGGGCCTGAATTAAAGGACATTACTGTAAAAGTGTAGATGTCCTTTACATGTTCCTCTCCCTAGCTACACATACCCTCCTTTCTTTAGTTCCCCCACTGCTCTGGCCTCTCGGAGCAAAGAGAGGAACCCTGGGTAAACTTCAACCCGCTTCAACCCACCCCCATGTGAATGTGACTGATGCCTGCGCGCCCAGATGCCAGCACTGTCATGTAGAAGAAGGGAATGCTCCCTTCATCCAGGATTATTTCCTTCACTCCCGGCAGTTGAATGGAGCAGTGAGGGAATAAAAGATGGGTGAGCATGTGCAGCTGGAGGGGCCAGCAGTAGAGTAAACCGGCTGCTCCGTTTGGGTAAAACCCGAGTTCACTTTGTCTTCATTTGCCTTTTCTTAGTTTAAATCTGTGAACTAATCGGCTGTCTCAGCAGGATCTCCAGAGCCTGTGAATGAAAACAAGGTCTTTAGCGAGAAATTGTGCGAATTGCGAGAAAAGAAAATGTATTCTTTTGTTGTTATCTCAGGAAACTCACATTTGCAGTTTGACAAACGTGTTTCTTTTCACACCCCCTTGGCAGGTACATGGTGCAGCCTTCTCTGCTGCCATTGTTGACCAAGGAATACTGC